ATGATATTTCAAGATGAAGTCACGCACAAGCCCCCGGACGTTTCCGCCGTCTGGTTCGGGGGTGTGACACGACGTGACATATGGGCATGGGGAAACCCTAATTTTTCTAGGTTTAAACGTTATTTGATGGATGTCGTGGCTAGGGTTTTCACACCCTCAGCCTCCATCACCTCCTTTTCACCCTCATAGAAGCCCTAGTTTTCATTGTTGAAGATCTTGAGTTTTGTTGGTGTTTTGGTGCCCTAAAGGAGAAGGAAGCACACTTGCTATATAGATATAGCTTGCAAACCTCACCATCATCTTCTATCTTATATTCTTGACCCTTGTAAGTGTTCAAGATCCAAGATTTATTGTTCTATGTCTCTAGATATTGGTTTTTGTCCCTTTTCTTCAAGGATAAGTTAGTTGGAGTGGTGGTCCCTTGATGAACATAAGGTTCAGATCTGAAGTTTGCTTGTGTATTGAGCCCCATGCATGAGATTCTTGGTGTTGTTTCTCCATTTTTGACCTAGTTTGAACTTTAGACTTGCATTGGACATGCATAGTTGAAAATCATCGATCTTTAGGTTGTATTGGACGATAGGAAGCCTTTTGGAAGGAATTAGTGGATGGTTTAATGGATTGAGAGTTGAATCTATTGAGTTAAGAAAGCCCAGTTTTCACGACGTGGCAGTTTGCTCGCCACGACGTGACGACTGGGGGTTTCCCAGCTGTTTTAGATAAACTCAGTCACGATGTGGTGGCTTGACCATCATGATGTGACGGTAGCTTAGACCGTGACCGAGATTTTGATTGGGACTGAGTTGGATCGTTTCCCACGACGTGACCTCGGGTTGATCACGACGTAAAATTCAACTGATGTTGACTTTGATCGTTGACTATTAACCTTGTTGAGTTTTGGTCAAATTGCTAGTTCTAGAGTATAGACTGAGGTGTGACCTTGTGTGATTCGATAGGTGGGTTGTAGCACCTATTTCGAGACACTGAGTTGGGATTTGTCTGACTTCATGAGAGAAGTGAGTCTTCTCACTATACTATGTAGGATGCTAGCTGTCTTTGTGACTCTTGCATTATATGTTGACGGGACCTGTTTGTTTGTTGGGCGGGGTCCGTTTGTATGTTGGGTGGGGCCCGTTTGTGTCATAGGTGGGGCCCGTTATGATGGGCAGGGTCCGATGTTATGTATGGTTTGTGGTATTTTGGGGAACTCACTTAGCTTTGTGCTTACAGTTTTGTGGTTTAAACATTTCAGGTACTTATGGTTTCAAAGGGAAGGGCCCGGCTAAACTGCATTGCATCCCCCGACGACTTTTCCGCATTGATTATCATTATTTCACTTTGATGTTTAAGAGAAACATTTTACTATGATTGGTTTTTGAGCAAATGTTTGTATGGATTTGATGGGTTGAAAATGAAAAAAAAATTACTAGTATTTGTTGGATGTTACAATCATTAGTGGGTTAAAATGGTTTTAAGTTTATTCACAATTTTAAAGTTTATGTTGTCGTTTCTAGTGTTTTTAGAAACCGGTTTTTGAATAAAACCCAACATATGTAATTATGGTGAAGGGTTATCATCAATCTCCTCAATAACCACTTTTATAGGAGACATCAAATATGTATTCAAATTAGTTGACCCATGCTCTGAATAAACACAAATTTCCTTATTCTTTCCAAAATATGACAAACTAATGACATCTTGGCCACGGCCTAAAGGTAAGAGTCAACAGTCCCAGGAATGCAGTAGTGGTAGTAAATACATTCCGGTCTAGCATATCCTAACTCCTCAAAGATCACATCAAGTTCATGCACTGAGAACTCCTCGATGTCAATAAAGGCAACATACTTGACCTTACCAAGCACATATCTTCTACCAGGGGCTTTTGAGAACATCCCTCCATGTGAAATATACATTGTGAAAATATATGGCAAACCTTCTACATAATGGCAAATAACCTCTGATTAATACCTAATAAAGAAAAAGAACGATCATGAATGTAATTTTGAAAAAAAAAATCAATCCTTACCATACACTTTGTCGACGTCAGTATGAGAATTTATAAGACGTATACTCCATAACGTTAGACCCATTCTCAATCTTCTGACAAAATAACCCTAACGAAGTAGATAAAGAAGAAGGAAGGACAATGAGGTCTTTTGGGATGCTTGAGTAGAGTACACCAAAACGTTCGTCTAGGATAATGTTGAACTGAGGTAATTAAGAGGGTGATGACAAGGTAGAAGGCAAAAGTGAATTGGCAAAAATGCCCCCTCATGTGAAGGGCACGTGATGGTGTTTGGCAGATCAAATAAACGTCGTATGCCTCAGGGAGGGATGGTCAGTACAATTTTTTTAAAGCACACAAGGATGGGTCATATCAAACTCCCAAAGGTTTGACCAAATCTACGAATTGGAACAAAAACCACAAGGACCATTTTGTAATTTACTCTTTATTTTATTTTATTTTTACCAAATCTACGAATTGGAACAAAAACCACAAGGACCATTTCTGTAATTTACTCTTTATTTTATTTTATTTTTGAAGAACGTTACTATTGTCCAATGAACATCTAAAACGCGGAACCATGCTTAAAAGTTAAAACCCTACAAAACCTTCTTGCTCCTCAGGAAATTTGCAATAACCATGGCGGGGTTCATTCGAACCTGTAGAAGATCCCTTTTCTCGCTCTCTAGAGCCCTACTTCCTAACACCCACAACCGATTTCTTCTCCAAACCAACAAAACCATATCTAAATTTCCCCCAAATTTTGCTACAAATCCATTTTCCACTTCAACTCTCCAACACAAATCACCATTTGAATCAAATCTTCTTAGCATGCTTACAAACGAGATCGAATTCGAATCAGAATACGACCCTCCTCATCAGGTAAATTACATACACATCACATTATTGATCATTCTCTACTAAATGTTTCCGTTTTTTGGAACATTATAACCTAGATGAACAAGAAAATGTGAAATTCCTTCTGCTTACAAATCTCATCAATCTAAAACTGTCACGGCATACAGTACAAGTTTTACAGTATAATGTATAAGTCCATTGATGCATCGTTTTTCAAGAACTCATACCTAGCTTTTCATTGCAAACTAACCATCAATATTGTGAAATTGCCAAAAAGCCGCTATATTTTGCAAGAAAGAGCAATGCAAAATCAAATCCGTTGTTCTTTTTTCTTTCTCTAGAATCACTATCTTTTTTCCATTTTTGTTAGATGGTTATTTTTTGCAACATTTCAATACCCATTGAAATGTTAGAAAAAAAAAAATTGAAGTTTTATAATATGTTCCATTAAACTTTGCTAAGTGAAATGGTAAAAGTGGAATGTTGACGTGGCAATACATTAAACTTTATAGAGCTGAATGCATTGTGGATGCGCTTAAGACATAACTATTGAAAGTGGGAAACCCTAATTTCTCTGACTTTCTCTGTTACGTCGTTCTTTCTGCATTAAGTAAAAAAAGAAAAATTCATATATAACTTACCATATAAAGTTATGTCCCCATTAAGTCCATTACACTGCTAAATACAGCCCGACAAAAAGTTCAACGCGTTTATGGTGGAAGATAGGCCCGGAGAGCAATTTGTTACTTTGAGAGGCCGATCTACACTTGATGAAAATATAAAAATTGAAGCTACAATGTTTGATGGTTATGCTACAATGTCAAAAGATGAAAATACTGAGCCCGATGCCCAACTTCACATTAGTTTGTTAGTTGATATATCAAAGGGTGAAGGGGGTGAGATGTTGGAATTCGTATGCTCTGCTTGGCCCGAAAAATTGGAGATTCAAAGATTTTATGTGATGCGGGTTGATGGTGTGTTGACTCGGCCCTACACGGGTCGTGATTTTAGGTAACTATTAATAGCAATGTACTTTGACTTCCATTTAATTGGGTATTAATATTTATAGTATCTTACTTTCGTTTCGATAGTTTTTCATAGTATAAACAAATTCATTTAAAGTACATTGATATTTAACATGGTTTAAATATTTTCAAATCTTTTTCAGGGTTTTGGACAAAACGCTACAAAGTGCACTCATGGAGTTCTTGAATGCAAGAGGAGTAAACAACGATCTTGCTTTTTTCTTGCATCGTTATGTTTGGAATAAAGATAAACTTGAACATATTCAACGCTTGAAGCTTCTCAAATCTTATGTCCAAACATAAACTTTCCCCTTTTGTTTTAAAGTTCAGAAATCGGTATAATTATTGCTTTCCTTATTTGGAAACTTATCCCTAGTATTACCAAAAGCAGTTTTACATGCGTATCATGTGATAGATTAGCCATTTTTAACCCATTTGTGTCATCTATTTGCATAAGCATGATTTTTTTTTTGTTTGAGGATTTTACTAATATACTTTTTTATTTAAATCCTAAATGTGGTGTAGTTTAAATGGTGTTATATTGGACATAACAGAACAAGATGTTTTTTTTTAACTATGTCTGACGTGTATTGGACTGGTTTTATTTTTATATTTATTGTTTTTGGGTATTTGGACATATTTTTGGGAACTTTTTTATACAAAATTGGCACAACATTAGGGGCTTTATCCCCATTTTGTGTCATAGCTCTTTAGCAACTACACAGCCAAGAAATAAATGTATTCACGACTCAATCTCCTTTTTTTTATTGATTCAGTGATTAACATGCAACTCTTAAGAACTAAACAGAACAGAATTGAAAGTTTATCATGTAATAAAAATTATATTAAATAAGTCGCCATGAGGAATATTATTCAGCGATTAAAAGTCAAAAGGTCAAACAGGTAAACAAGGTGAATATGTAACACTTTTTCACATAATGAAACAAAAATGTGACTTAAGTAATAAATATCTTGAATTTCATGAGGAATCTTGTATTTCATTTCTATGTAATGTACAAACAATACATTTTTTTTCTTTCCAATGCTCTACCAATAACTTAACTATTTTGTCAACCAATAAATCCAAATCAGAAATGTACAACATGAGGCAACCATGGAAAGGATAATAGTCTCCATTGATTTTCTCTTCTTTATTGTCGATATAATACTGTTTACCTATAAAACCACAAAACCATACAATTTAGGTTTTATATTCATGTAACAATTTAGAATAACTTTAAATGATTAGTATTCGAGTTATGGAATGGATTTTTATAATAATAATAATAATAATAAGTTCAAATACTCACTTACTGTTGGGAGGCGACTCTTGACATTGCCAATCTTAGAACCAATTCCCCCAAATGTTGATCTTTGAAACACAAGCGTGCCTAGGGTTTCTTGTGCTTGAGATATTACACCTTCCATCTACATTCCCATTTTCCATGTAGATTATTTAAAAAAGTAAAACACACTCCTATTATGTGTTAAATATTGTTATATCATTGGTAAATACTGTAAGTATGTTGCTATTATGAGTAAAGAATTATATAAGCATATTGGTTCATACTTCATACACACCTGTCGTGTATTTCTCATGAGAGTACCACGCTCCTTAAGGAAAGATTGGTCTTGGGACCCACCATCATCTTCTGAGACTAATCTTGATTTCTCAAATTCTCTAAAATCTTCAAGCAGTGACGCGTGGTCTCTCTTTGCTTTCAGGCTAGATCGCAGTTGACCGAACTCCTATAATCAAACGAGTATAGAAACACAGGTTAAATGCAAGAATAGCAACATACTTTCATTTATTTGGCTACTTTTGTGGTTTAATAATTATATTTTAGTTTCTTCAATGAAAGCCACCCACGGTTTGACAGTTTTTCTATGTCGACCACTTTGACCTGCTATGACCTACTATAGCAAGTTAAAGTGGTTACAATAGAAATTTTTCGTCAGAGTTTAGTGGCTTTAGTGGAAGATTTTGTGTCAAATTTTTCACTAAAGCCGCTGAATTTGACAAAAATTTCTATTGTAACCACTTTAACCTGCTATAATAGATCAAAGTGATCGACATAGAAAATTTGTAAAACTTGGGTGGCTTTCATTGACGAATCTGAAATATAGTGGCGTTTATGTATTTTGTCCTTATTATAGCATCCTACTTTACTTTTTTCTATTACAACATTACAATTCGATTTTTTTCTTATTAAACCCTTGTACTTTAAAAATCTACCTAAATGTGACAAAGAAAACTACTTTGTGTTTGGATGACATTTTTATAATAGGGTAATTTTTTTTTTAAATAAAAAAATATACAATGTTGTAATAGGAAGAAAAAAAAAGTAATATGCTATAATATGAAAATCAAAGAGCACAAAGTGAACTATTCTTTCCTATTTTACTATAGAATTTTTACCTTAGTAAGATCATTATGAATTTCTTGATGACGTGTCAATGTATGAGAAAATATTTCTGGTCCTCCAGTTGAAAGCCAAGATTGCATTAATGAAATTACTTGTTGCAATTCTTTCAATAGTTGTTCTATTCTAGATCCAAGATTGTTCTCATTATTATGATCAACTTTTGTAGAAACTAATTTACGATACACGTGTATTTGATCATCCAATTGTGCTTCAAGCTTCCTTGCCTATAGCGACATCACCAAATCAACAAGCATTTTAATCATAATTGAAATCATCTCATTTCTCAAGAAAATCTTTGCCCTAACATCAATTTAAATGTCAAAACTTTCATGTCAATTCGAACTAAAAGTGGAACCACATTTGCACACATCAATGCTCAAAATGAATTGATTTAGATCTACATTAGCAGCAGGACGTAAGAATGTTGAAATTAATAATAATAAAAAACGAACCTGTTTTCGCAAGGAGTCCCAAGAGGTTTTCGAATCCATGGAAAAGTAGAGAAGGGGGGGAAACAGGGTTCCTCCCAATTGTACACGAATTTGTTAAGAGAAAGAAACTGTTTGGAAATATGATTGACCAACAGACGCACGCTTGAAAGAGGAGGAAATTCCTCCATTGAATCGAGTGAATCGCACGAAATCCTGCGAATTGGTATCCAGTTTTGGCGGCCAAATCTAATTAGATCTCTTCCCTACATGCCATGGTAGGAGCTACAAACCACATTTTGACTCTCCAGTTTGACTTTTTAATTACTCGATTTTTTTGTCTCAATATTATATTAATAATAAATCTTTTATTCAAATGAACTGTTTTTTGGAATTTTTTTTTTAAGTTTTATGTTTTTTTCATAATTAGTTATTTAATTTAACAATGTTTTTTTTACTTTCCTAACAAATGACATATTTAAGAGAATTAATAAAACTTTGAGAAGTAGTGTCATGTTTGTTATGGCCACCTAATCTTCGCTTAAACTTTACCATCACAAGAAAAAAAGAAGTGGTGTGGCATTAGAAAAGTGATGAAGAAGATAAAGTGGAAAAAGTTGGATTTAACTCTCTCTCTCTCTCTCTCTCTCTCTCTCTCTCTCTCTCTCTCTCTCTCTCTCTCTCTCTCTCTCTCAGGGGCAGTGTATGTCGAGTTGGCCACGCCTTTGTCATGCTCGATGTTGAGCCACTCCATTGTCTCATCATTATTTTATGGGTTTTTGTCATAAAAACCCTCAATTTTACTCGAAATGGTCGGTTATGCCCAAAGTCGGATTTTTTCTGCGATAATGCCTCACATACCGGATAAATTGTTCACCTTTGCCACTTTACCTTCAAATGTCGGTCACCACTTGCTGATTGGGCGAAGTTGTTAACTCAGACGTGACGTGGCTGGCCAAGTCATCAGCTTTGCTGACTTTTTCAAGGGAAAAAATGAACAAACGAAAATGGAGACAGTGGGTTTCAAACCCGAGTCTCCACCACACCAAAACACCTCGTTTACCACCAGGCTAGGGGAATTTGTTTGAATTTTAGTCTCAAATACCATACTTATCATCTAACATACTGATGTTATTTATTATTTATTATTTATTATTATTATTATTTATTATTATTATTAATATTATTTATTATTATTATTATTATTATTTATTTTTATTA